GTCACCTTTGACCTCTTTTCTGTTTTTTCACTTTAACTGAATTCTTGTCCTTATTTCTATACTTACCCAGCTACAACAGGCAGATCTTTGCTGTGGGTATTCGAGAGATCTCATTTCTGAGGGATTTCCTACACTTGTAGTTAAAAGCTGCACCCAGGTACTGCGCCACTGAGCACAGCTCACCCCCACCTGTCTCCACTTCCCGTCTACAAAATCCGAACAATACTTACCTCCACCTAATTGCTCTTATGTGGGTGGGAAGGAGTTAATAAGCTCAGAGCTTCAACGATCATTTATAATATTTTTCTCCATCTATAAAATAACAGCAGACAGGCACAAGAAATCCTCCTGTTGCATCATCAGTTGGTAGTTTTGTAGCTTAAAAGAAGCTACAAGATGAGCAGGTGTTATTCACTGCCCACTTCCAGGCAGTGTTGCTAACTCCTACAGAGCACTCCCCCTCCGGGCTTGGGAAGAAGGACTGTAAGGTAAGGTGGGAGATACAACTCACACTATTACTTCATCTTCTACTGTTCCAGACCTTGTTTCTTCCAACCTTCCTCTACAATAGCCTTGATGGGGAGTTCTCAAGCACAGGCTTTCTTTTGCATATAAATGCCAGGCTACATACAAGGATTTTCATACAGGGCAATAGGGATGATAATAATAATAGTTAAACAGTTTTTGAGTATATCATATGCCAGGCCTGTGCTGAGTACATTTACATGGTTTATCTCATTTAGTCCTCTCAACAATGTTAAAGATAAGGAATATCACAATGAGGACACTGAAGTTTAGAGAGATTAAGGAACTTGTTAGATCACAAACTATCATAGCAAATGGAAGATCCTAGGTTTAAACTCTTGGCAGCTTGTCTCCTCTCTTAACTACTATAGTAGTTAAGTTCTCCTCTCTTAACTACTCTAGCCTTGACTGATGCCACATCCAACAGTTTCTGTCACACTGAGGCTGCCCCCCTCCTTCCTGTCTATTTGGAAGATGAAGATGGAATTTACTCCATCCCTCCTTAAACTAGAAAAAAATTGTTTAAAAATTAGAGAGAGGGTCACTCTGGTTCCATTGCAGTAGGGCCTCTTTATTGATGGGAGATTGTCAGATTCCTCCTGGCAGGTTTTGGGGTGGAAGGAGCAGAGCCCCCTTGCACTCTACTCTGGAGAGTAAGCTAGACTGGGCTCTAGTTTCCTGATGCGATGATATCTGATGATATGCATGGTGGTGGCTAAGGACATGGGGGCTATGTTTGAGTTATAGTTTGCTAACTTCCTAAATTTGTTGCCTTATGGCAAGTTACTTAACATTTCTGTGTCTCTGTTTCCTATCTATATAATGGGAATAATAATCATTCCTACTTCATGGTGTCACTGTGATGATTAAATAGGTTTATGTGAAGTTCCAAGAAGGTACCTGGCATATAATGTATGTTTAGTATATGGGAAATGATATAATTACTATATGATTATTATATCAAGTGAGGAAAATCTTTGCTCTGTGGTTGATCAATGACTCACTGGAAAAAATCATGGGCCATATGCTAGTAAATTAATTAATTCTAATTATTAATTTTATAGATAGGGAAATATCCATGCATTGACTCACTCATTTGAAATGGAAGACTTATGACTACTTAATTTTTAACTGACCTAAAAATACAAATTAGAATGAAATATCAGAATTGAAAAGAGCTTCAATGGGTGTCTAATCCAACGTACCCTCCTGTGTATGTATCCCCCTGACTATCTCCAAGGTGCTTAGCTGGTCCTAAACTCTAAAGGTAGGGGAAGTTTAAATTTGTTTCCATTGTCTCTGGGTTTCTCTCTTATGCAATGGTCCATACTATACCAGAGTGCTATGCTCAACACATGGAGGCATGAAGAGACTGCTCAGTGTGGTGGTTTTCTGATGGGATGGTGTTGTGCAGCTTATTGGAGTATTAATAGGAAATCTAGTATCTTCTGACACTTAGGTTTTCAGGTCCTACCACGGTGCTGGATATAGCCAATAGAATTGAATGAGATGACAAAGATGTGTTCTTACTTTCTCAGACTAACTGCTTCATAAAAGATCAGCGAGAACCATTGAATATTGATGCCTGTCAGGCAGAAAGTTTGGAGTTGAAGAATTTTAGAGTTAGAAAAGAGCCAGGAAATAATTTAGACCTTTAAAATGATCCCCAAACCAGGAAACAGTGCCAGAGAGGTTAAAAGAGTTGGCCACAGGAGCTCAGCTGGTTAATGTGAATATACATAGTAAGAGTTCTTTCCACCGCCTCTCTCTGGTTCTCCGACATAGTGATTAGAAACGTGGGCTTCAGAGACAGGCTGCTTTGATTTAAATCTTGGTTCTACCCTTTATTGGCAAAATGATCTTCAGCCAGCCGAGTACTTCTCTCTGCCTCAATTTTCTTACTTGGAAAATGGAAATAATAATAGAAGTTTTGGGTATAAGGCACTTAGGACAGTGCCTGACAGAGTGCTTAGTAAGTATGTGTTATTATTACTAATCTTCCAAAGAACTGCAGGAATGTCAGCTCTTAACCAAGCCTGAGAATAAATGTTTTGACCAGGCTGGTGTTTAGAAGTATTTTCTCTCACTTGAAATATGGCTTTTTACTGCTTCTTAGCTTCTGATTCAGAAGTGATCTTTAGGACCCATCTGTGAATGAGCAACCATATTCTTCTCTGGAATCACTGTGTGACTTTTGGACAGATGGAGGCAATGATTTAAAAATTATTCCTCATTATTTATAGTTTCCAATTCACATTCAGCAAATATTTACAGCATAGTCTGCTGTGTGTCTGGTACAGAGACAGAGCCCAGTGCAAAGGTGGGCAGTCTGAGGTACCCCTTACCCTCATGGTGTATGCAGGTTGGGTGGGACGTTTGGCAATGAGGGAGGTAAATGCCACTACAATGTGGGAGGGAGCACTGACAAGAAAGAAAAGAGAACTGTTTTACAGCGCATGGAAGGAGCTGTTAATCTGATTAAGGGATCAAAGAAGGACTTTATGGAAGAAGTGATGGCTAGGCTGACTCCTGGATGATGAGTTAGCTTCTTGACTGTTCAATAGGTGCTGGAGAAGAGTATTCCAGATACAGGGAACATTGTGTGTGTGTGTATGTGTGTGTGTGTGTGAGAGAGAGACTCAGGCTTGGGAGAACACTGGGTTTTCACCAATTTATTCAATATTTAACAAGAATTCATTAAGCATCTACTGTGCAGTAGGCATTGTTTCACATAACAGGGAGACATCAGTTAATAAAACAGGCAATGTCTTTATTTTTGTGGAAGTCACAGGAGAGAATAGAAAAATGAAGATTAGTGCTATGAAGAAAACTACGTAGGGGAGGATGATCAGGGAAGCCTTTAGAATGAAGTAACAGTCAAACAGACCTGAGTGATAGGAAGGAACCAGCCGTGTAGACATCTGGGGGAGGCAAGAGGAACAAGCAAAACAAGGAGCTCAGTTGCAGGAACAATCCCAGCATGCTGGAGAAACTGAAAGAGGGCCAGTGTGCTGGTGTGTAAAGGCCATACGAAAAATATCTGAATAATTCAAAGGGTGTTCCATTATGATGGCAATTATCAAACAGACAAAGAGATAACACATATTAGCAAGCGCATAGAGAAAAGGAAACCCTAGAACACTTGGTGGGAATGTAGATTGGTGCAGCCATCGTGGAAAACATGGAGGTTCCTAAGGAAAGTAACACTAAAACTACCATAGGACCCAGCAGTCCTTCTTCTGGGTATGCACCTAAAGGAGATGAAATCACCACCTCACAAAGATACCTGCACTCCCATGATCATTGAAGCTTTATTCACAATAACCAAGATATGGAAACAACCTAAACATCTGTCAGTGGGCCAATGGATAAAGAAAATGTGGTATATAAATATACAATGGACTAATATTCAGCCTTAGAAAAGTAGGAGATCCTGCTATTTGCCCCAACATGGGTGGATCTGGAGTGCGTCATGCTTAGTGAAATAAGCCAGACACAGAAGAAACATATTGTGTGATCTTACTTATATGTGGAATCTAAAAAAAAAAAAAAAACAAAAACATCAATTATACAGAAACAAACAAAAAAACAGTGTCAAGTTTGAGCAGGGGGCAGAAATAGGGAGATGTATGTTAAAGAATACAAAGTAGTGGATATGTAGGATAAACAGGCCAGAAGTCTAATCTGGGGACTGCAGTTAACAAAATCGTATTATATTAGGGACTTCTGTTGAGTAAGTAGATTTTAGCTGCTCTCGTCACACAAGAAAAGTGACGATGTGAGATGATGGACATGTTAATTTGCTTCTCTGTAGTAACGATTTTACTTTTTTATGTGTATCCCATGACATCGTGTTGTAAACCTCAAATATATACCGATAATTTCAAGGGTGTTTGGGTTGGGTTGTTGATGCTGAGAAAGACTCATAAAATCTCCAGTATAAACTAGTTAAAACACACAGAATGAGTCTCTTTTCAAACCAAGGCAGGTTTTGGAAAATCTCAGTTGCAAATTTCTCTTCTCTAGAGTGGGGCTTGGCTCTGTGTTTTCATAAATGAGGTGTGAGGAAGAGCATATATCCCATCGCCGTTGACCAGAACTGCACATAAGGCAGCTGTGCTGATACACGTTGTGGTCCCAGCTGTGAACACATTTGAGCGGCGTGACAGATCAGCTGGGCTGCCCGGCTCAACACGAGGGCTCATTATGTCGATTATGGGTGTCCCAGTGATTTCTCCTGGGTTCTAGCCATATACCGTATTTCTAATTACCTTCCTGAGCTTTCCTTTCCTGTTTCATCCCTTTGGACTCGCATTTGCATTTCCAAAGTGCTTTAAATGTTTTCTATCCAGTTTGAGTGTGCTTTGATCCAAACTAATTGTCCCTGTTCTTCTCTTCTGTTTTCCCGGATCGTCTATCTCTATGTTGGAGCACGTGGGCCACACGGGAGACTCATGGCTCTTGTTTGCTCCCAGTTGACAGCTTTGGGGATGATGAAGAGCTATCCACGTCTTCTGACAGCGACGAGGAGGTGATCAAACAGTTTGAGATTTCCGTGTCCCGGTCCCAGAGTTTCCGTTCAGGAGCATGTGAGAAAGGAAAGCAGACCGGGTTGGAGCAGAAACTGAAATTCAGCCGTTTGCTGTCTACCTGTGAAGAAGACAGCACGGAAGTGTCTGCCTGTGAAGGTATTCTTTGCACGACACCCTTTCTTTAGCTAGAGGCTCTGGACCACTGCAGTCTGTATCTGCAAGTCCAGAGAGGAAAGAATGAGACAGGAGGCAGCAGCCGGGATGGGGCCGAGGGGCTGCTTTAATGCCCCCAGAGGGGTGTCATGCAGGAGGTTGGGAGAGGGAATGGATTGAAAGCTGGCAATTCCTGACCCTGGTCTGTGGGACCCCTGCCTTCCCTGGGTGTCACTGCTTGGAACATTTTGAACACTAATGACTAGAACAGGATTTATCAAGCTTTGTAAAATCCTGTTTCCTTTTGATAAATTCAAAAATTTCACATGCCTGTCCACTGACCCTGAGATTTTGTGCCTTTTCTTCCATTTGGAACCATACAGAATTCACTTTCCATGTGTCTGTATAACTCAGAAGATATTTCAAAGCATTTCTTCTGCTTAGTTAATATTATTAAAGCAATAGGTACTTTTTAATCTTCCAAATAAAAACATGCAGTATAATAATAATGAGTAACTTTTTTCAAATAACACACACCCCTGCATCCTTCCTCTCAGTCCCTGCAGTTTCTGACATACCCCACCTGCGTGAGAATTACATAAGCACCAGGTCTTATGTCATCTTCTAGTGTCATCACTGCAAGTTTACTTTTCACCAAGGGGAGGGGCTCCTCCAAGGTCGAGTGGGCCCAGCGTGTGATGGTGGGCGGGCCTCGTTAAGGATCCTGCTCCCTCTCCAACACGAGCACCAAACAACCAGGAGAGAGGATGTAAATAGATGTATGATATTTCTGAGTGCGTTTCTAAGCAAAGGGCAAAGCATCTCTCTGACTCCTTTATGCCCAGAACCCTGAATAGACACAGACACTGGCACAGGGAAGGGTCTGTGAAGTATATTTGGTACAAAGCTAGAGAAAATGTTGCACTGTCTGCCTTCATGACCTGGTCTCAGTGACTTGAATTCTCTAATCTTTTCCTTCTTTCTTCTTGGGTATGTGGTCAGTGAGACCAATGGGGGGCAGAGTTGGTAGATGCTCCATGTTTTCAACACCAGATAGAGAAAAAGGAGAGTGCAGAAACTGAGAGGAGATAAAAGAGAAGAAATTTTGATTTGAGGGTGAGGACAGGATAAGGAGAAAACGAACAAAGGAAAAGGTTGTGTTAGCAAAGAGAAGCCTAGTTTTTGGCAGTACTAACTTGCTATCCATCGTGTAGTTTGACTTATTGACATAGGCCACTTAGCATATTTTACTGATATTCTTTTTAGCCCAAGGTAAGCTAATAAATAAAGGCCTTATGTGACCAAACCACAATATCAGTGGCTACTTGGCCCTGTGTCATTTCCTCACTCCCTCTCTTGGCTTTTCTTTCTCTGGTGTTACATCACAGCATTCCTTTCTCTCCACCGACAGGGTAAATGTTAGCTAATGAAAGTTATTAGCAGTTGATTCCCTGAGAATAGCTTGTTTAATCCTAAAGCTAATGGCTCCATTTCCCAGAAGCCCAAGTGTCTGGTTTCTGATTTACACAAATGGCTGATGTTCTGACAACCATTCTCACCCTTCCCCTTCCTGGAATGAACAATAACTTATCTCTTGTCCTAACTGGTAATTCTGAATTTTTGAGAGATGGTGATAGAAAGGTAAATTTTTCTCTATTGGAGAGAGGAAAAAGTCTACCACATTGAATGAATTACTTGTAGATTTTGAAGAAAATCAGCAGGATGTTCATAAAAGTAGCTACATGTCAAATTTTAGGTTACCAAATGTCATGGTAAGTGTTAATGTAGTTTTTATTGCTTGATGTTTTTCTGTCATTTCTTTTTGTTCATCTCTACATCAGTGGATTTATTTTAGTGATAAAGAATGATGAAAATATTAAACATGCACCCCAGAGAGGATATTTTTGGCCTGTTCTTTCTTTATGTAGCTATTTTGTTTTACCATAAACATAGTTTTTTTCTAAGATCAAATTTAATTGTAGATAATTCTTCCACTTTAAAAATGCATTCAAAAGTGTCAGACAGTGAAATTAAAGGTCCAAATCCAATTAAAATCTGAAACATGAATGAGCTACTGGTCAGTTATCTCATGTTTCATTTTAAGTGAAATTCTTCATTCTAGATTCAATGGTGAGGTTGTTAGAGCCGTATTCCAAGAAAGTTCTCTTTTGTCCTGTGTTTCTGATTTAGTGTTATTGCACATTAATTGTCACTGTGTTCCTGATAACGTCAATGAGAGTTTGATCTAAGTGGTTTGGATCAGAGGCTGGGGATGAGGTCTTTAGGCATGAAAGATAGGCTACAGAATAATATTAGCTCATTAAATATGAAATGTCCGATTTCAAATCAAAAGTATAGTTCATATCTCATACAAGAAGCAGTACAATTAAAGTATGTGCCTAAACTATCCACACAGTTTTGCCATCTTAACAGTAGCTTGTTTATGCCAGCAGTGAAGAAGCCTGGAGAGTGAGGGGCAATGAAATCTCGAAAGGAGTTTTTTACAACTTGTTGAGAATTGAATATTTTTCCTTGCAAGAAGTGGTCCAAAGCCTGGAAGAAAGCAACTAGATAATAGTTTTGTTTGTTATTTGAGACAGAGTCTCGTTCTGTTACCTCAGCTAGAATGAGTGCAGTAGTGTCATCACAGCTCATAGCAACCTCAAACTCAATGGGCACAAGCAATTCTCCTTCCTCAGCCTCCCAAGTAGCTGGAACTATAGGCGTGCACCACTACACCTAGCTAGTTTTTTTTTAAATTTTTGCAGAGACCAAGTCTCACTGTTGCTCAGGATGGTCTTGAAATCCTGGCCTCAAGCAATCCTCCTATCTTGGCCTCCCAGGGTGCTAGGATTATAGGCGTAAGCCACCGCACCTGGCCGATTATAGGGTTTTATTCTATCATAGTGGGATATGAACTAAACAAGTTGAAGAATTTCTCTTTTAAAATAAATTTGGTTGATGTGACATAATTATGGACTATTATTTCTAAGAAGCAAGGAAATGTTTCTCTGACAACAGGCAATTACTTCTGTGCATGTGTTTAAGGTGACATGATTTTCTGTAATTTAAAGGCATAAGAAGATTGCTTAATGTGAAGGTGAATCACCTTTCACTTTCCTTCTTGCAACGTGTACCTCAGATTTGCTTTTCAAATTCATTCCTTGCTTGTCTGTCATGGAAAATGGTTTGTTACATTAATATAGTTCTTATGTTTTTCAGTTATGAATAGCTTTTCAAGGCTTAATGTAGCTTTTGAAAATTCCCTTATTACTGATCTAGGTATTATCACTGTAGGAGTTAAAGTCATGAGACGATTTTATGGGGGTAATTTCTTGGCAAAGTTAGATTTTGTGCCGAAATCCTGCTGGGTGCTACACATGTTGATGGATGACCCACTGTTTAATAGGACATTTTACTGTTCATGTATGTGAGGATTGGGTGTGCTAATTAGAGACTTGGAAGAAAATTCTGTTTTATGTTGTAGGTTTTTGCATGTGGATTTTTTTCCTTGTTCTGTCATTTCGTGTGTCCTATTTTTAGTGTGTTTGCGAAATAACTGGAAGTGTGAATGTACAAATTTTGTGATGTCCAATGAAACTGTTTCCAAGGGACCTGAACTGAATTACTAAGGATAATAAGGCAGATAGGGGAACTTCTCAATGGCCTGGTGTAGTTTTGCAAATCCCAAATCAGGAGTCTGAAGTTGTACCCCATGGACCACATCTGCCTAAAGAGGTTTTTATATGGTTGGCATAGGGTGATAGTACATTTTTTAAGTTTAAATGCTCACTATAGTTGGGTCAAGTACTCTCTGATAAACCATTGTCACCACCGCCACTCCTATAGCTGCACATCTGACTGCTTCAAATGCTTGTTACCTGCCTAGGCTTTAAAGGTATTTGAAGGTTTAATGAGAACCCACTGGGAGGTAAAGTAGATGCATGTGGCTGAGTGCCTTCAAGAAGCCTGTGTTCTAGTTGAGGTCATAAGGCCAGTGGAGAAAACAATTGCTGCCATGTAGTATGTCTGTAAGAGCTGAAATTTTGACATATGCCTTGTCATACTACTCATTTGTCCTATCTAAATCTCTAATTTTCTCTCATCCTGGGATGGGAGCTGTTGAAGGAGACAGGAGGCCAGAGAGATGAGAGATCGTTAACTGCTCTTTGGGTGTGGGCGTCAAATCATGGTGAAGGCTGTTGCTCAGGAAGACCTGCCAGTTTTCCTTTCCATCTGAGGGCAATCTTGACATGGAAGGAGAGGGAAGGGATACATGGGGGTTGGGGATACCAAGAGAGAAAGCACTGAGTCTGAAGGAGTCAGGGAAGGTTCAGGAGTTGTTGGAGCTTTGGATGGACTGGAAGTAAAGGACAGGAGGGAGGGTTTGAGCTGCTCTGTGAACTGGAATACACAGCATTTTCATGAGCCTGGTGGTGACTTGGGAAATAGAGTTTGATGGGTTAGATGAGGCCAGTTCAGGCCAGGCAGGTAAGCAAGGCTATTACTTATGGAAGGCCTGCTATCCGCCAGGTGGATATTATTTCATGGGTCCACAATGACCCTCTGATGGCTTTTATCTTTTTTTAGGTAAGGAAACAACGATTCGGAGAGTTTGAATATTGTTCAAGTTCTTAGGATAGAGACAGGATTTAAACTCAGATTATCTGACTCCAAGTCCAGTGTTCTTACCGTGGATCAAATAGAGAACTTTTTACTTGGAAGGACCACTGAAGCCTTTTGAGCAGAATGTAATATAGTGAGTGTGGAAGAGAGAAGGAAAAATGGTAGAGTCAGGAGACCATCTGGTCTCAACATTAGATGACTCCTTTTGCTTTCTAGATCTATTCCTAAAGTCTTGAGGTCATTAGCTCCAACAAAATACTATTGTGGTTATTTATCCTACTAACATAAATTACATTATTTATATTATGAGAAAGTATTACGCTTTCTTGCACCCCAGATAATGAACTAATGGCCTCCTTGATTATATGGACCAGCTTCTCCACTATATGGGTGGGATTATGTTTCTGCAGGTCTTATTGATATAGGTTTTGTTTTTGTGGTCTTGATTGTTGTGATAGCAATTGTTTAATTTCTCTACCTAAAAAGGTGTTGAAAAATAATGCATTTGAAATGGTTTCCTTATTGCAAAATTTAGATTTGGATGGAGCCAGCCCACTGAATTATTCTGAGACTCTGTCTTACTGTGAAGATGACCCCGTCCCTGCTCCTGGGCAGTCCCCGTGTGAGAGAGCGGGCACCAGGCACCACGGCGCATCTCACCAAGAGCCCGGTGAGGCCCGAAGCCTCAGCCGCCAGTCCACAGAGGGCAGCTTGGAGATGGAGACAGCTTTTAATAACCGGGGATTTGAAGATTCCTATGCCACAGACAGTTCCTCCATGTGGAGTCCAGAGGCAAGTTATTTGTTTTTCATTCTCTCCTTGTTTTAGTAGTGTGCTTTCACTGGTTCTCTCGCCCCACTCTTCCTCCTACCTCTCCTTCTTATCTTTTATTCTTCCCCTCCCCCTAAAAAAACTTTTCCTTAAAAAACAAAGACCTAAAAAAACATTTATTTGAAATAAATTTTTGTTTAGATGACTAAAGCCCCCCTATGTGTGTCAATAAAAGAATCATAAATAAATTTCTTTTAAAATGGAAAAAAAAAAAGAAGAAAAATGGAAAAAATAAAGTAGAACAAGAATGGTGGCAGAATAAACCCAGGAACAGTCAGACTTTTCTTTTATATAAAGGCTTTTACAGGCTTAATTTTAAATAATAGAAATTTTAGTTCTTTAGAGAGACTGGTTTCTTTCCTTCACGGTTTCAATTAAATGGAGGCTATTTTTATTTACCCTAAACCTTGAGTTACGATTATTTGAATATGAAATTATTTGAACTAAAATGAAGTAGTCCTCCAAATGAACTTATACAAGATGTTATGATGAGGATTTTACAATATGAATCTGTTTGTTAGCTTTGAATTTAATTGAAAGCCTAGGAGACAGCATTAATCTGCAATGACCCTCTGGCCATTGACATTGGTTTTTGGAATAAATCTCTGATAAAAGATGCTTCTTTTAAATTTCTTTTTCAATTAATGCTGAGCCCAGAGTAAACCTAACAATGCAGAGATATGACTGGAAGTGGCTGGAGGTAGCTACCATTAATTGAGCAGTTACTACATGCCAGGCACTCTGATATGGATTTTACCAGCATTTCTTTATCTTATAGGCATTTATGGTTATTCTTCATTAGATAGAGCTCTCCTATTTTGATGTATGACATTGAAAGGTATTAAACAGTAGTATTTAATACCTAATTTGAAATTAATTTTAATGGAATAAGTCATATAAGTATATAAAACTTTAGTTTGTGGGGATGGAAAAAGGAGAAGGGTGAATGGGTTTTATTAGCATTAGTCCAAGAAAATAAACAGGGTGAATCTCTTATTAGGACTTGGACTGTCCCACACACTAAATGCTCAGGGCAAAGAAAAAGAAATCGCAGAAAATCGAGTTCCAAAACGCTTACTGCTAACACATTGGAGCGCGTGGGGAGGGTATACAAAAGAGGTGTGGGCATGCGCATCTGTGCCCCTGTGGTGTTTGTTTCTGCTGAGGATGAGAAACGGTAACTCAGATATGTGGTTTGTGGTTTGTTAAAAGCAGCCTTTCATATAGCGGCATCCTAAGCAATTAACTTTAAGTTTTGTTAAAAAAAAAAAAAGTCTGCTTGGGTTTACTACTGAGTCATATCAAATCCCACACAATAACATTTAAAAATACTTTTGCTGTCTCACCACAAAAACAAAACAGAGCTATTCACCTGCCTGTTGATACTCTGACTCCTTGATAACTGTGCCATTCGGCTTGGAATTGCCATCGCCAGGTAATCTGCCATTTCCCTGCCTGCTGGAGCTGTCGTGGGAGACATGGGGTTGAGGGGACTGAATGTTCTCAGACTCCAAAAATACCCAGACAATCTCTGTGTGCTCCATTCAACCTCCTATCTATTTTGAGACAAAAACTGTAATTTGGTGCTCCTACGGTAGAACTTCAAATCCAACCCAGAGGCAGTTCCCGTAACTGCCTGCTTTGCAGGCTTAGCTTGCCTTTTCAGAATTGATTTATTTGCCTCTTAGTGGTATTAACTCTGTCTTCCCCCATGTGTCTGGCCTCAGGAACATACTGTGGGTCTGTTTACTCTGGGCCACACAGATGACATCAACACCGTCTTGCTAAAACAGAAAGGCTTTCAATTTGACAGAAAATCTTTAAACCTACGTGGATTTTGACAATTTGACACAAGTGTTCCCATCTTAAAGAAAAACCCAGGATATTAGAGCTCGAGGAATCATTTGTTTTGCCTCGGAAGGAAATGGGTCCTGCAGTGTGACTACCTGTTAGGCTGATGGGTTTTTGAGCTCTGTTCTTCTCTGCTGGCAGGAGCCATTGACTTTTTCCTGCAGACCCAGGGCTGGGCAGGGAAGACAATGGGGAGGATGGCTGGCGATTCTGAGCACACAGGGAGACAGGTGTCCTACTTTTCATCTCTGCTTTCCCCTGATTAATTGGTTGGCCTTGAGAAGTTAATTAAAATCTGCCAAATGGGGATAAGAATGAAGAGATTTCTACCTTGCAGGAAGGTCAGATGGATTAGTGGTATTAACAGTACCCACATGAGGAGCCCTTCAGTTGCCTGGTGATAGGTGAAGTGTGTTGAAATAATTAATTGCTGTGAAAATACCAACCTTTGCAAATCTTTTTCTCAAATCAACCCAGAAAGGGGCTGCCAAGCCCAGTTTTCCTGGGCCACAGCTTGGATGGGCCCATGTGGAGCCTCGCTAGTGCCTGGAGCTGTGCCTTAGTGAAAGTTCTTAGGAAAGTTTAGAACCCTACCCAGGACTCCCCCCAAAACCTACAGGTGGAATGAGCATTTATCTGAATAGGTAGCCTGATAGCTACGTGGAGAGTGCCTCATTAGGATAGTTTTACCTTCGGATTGAAGTTTATGACAAAACTAGGCACTGTTAACTTATGTCAAGAGCAGAGGCCTATTCTGTGCTAATAGTACAAGGAAAAAAAAAAAAAGAGCAGAGGCCTAAGAGGATCTGAAATTCACAATATTGTGTGCTTTTAGCCCCCGATCTTCTTCCCTCTTCATCTCACACACTCAATATACATATAAATAGCTATGGGGAAAGGTTTGGGGGGAGAAGAAGGGAGACCTTATGGTTCAAAATAAGATTTGGGATTTTGTTTGTTGAATACAGGTTAAGGCAGGCTCTGGACCCAGACTGCCAGGGTATGAACCCTGAATAATCTTGTCTGGGCATATGACCTTGGCACAGGGGGAGGGGAAGTGTTAGTTATTTAGCCTTTCTAAGCTTTAGTTTTGTCGTCCATAAAGTGAGGATATTAAAATACCTAGCTTCATTAGGTTGATGTAAATATTTAAAAAGATAATGTTTCTTAATTGGGTTCCCCCAAAAAGAACATAAGGCAAAGGCTTTTGTTCTTTACTTTGTTAGGGAGCACAATTCCAGGGAACAAGATTGAAAGACAAGGAGAGTGAGGCAGGGAAGTCCAGTAAGGGAGTGTGCAGTGAGTTCGCCACCTCCACGTGACTAATTGCTTGATCTGCTGGGACCGCACTCCAAGAAGCTGTGTAAACTGATCTCAGGACATTTTTCCAAGGGGAGAAACGTTTACTGCATAGGGTGTTAACCCCTGCACACTCTGGACTGTATATGCATGGGTATCAAGCAGGGTTATGCAGCTTTCTAAGCCTTTGCATCCACAGAGAGTCGAATGGTAAGAGCTGAGGATTATATTGTATGAGTAGGAGGTAAGATTTGAGTAGTGCCAGGCCGAAGCCACCTGGAGCTCAGACAGGTGGTGCCTGTAGGGGAGATGGAATACAAAGTGAGGCCAAGAAGGTCTGCAGTGTATAAGGAGCTGACTTTTATAGTCTGTAAAGGACTGGGTATAGTATCTGGCCTAAGGAATGGCTTAGGAGATGCTAGATGTTATTACTTATGGTCAGACAAGCAATATAGAGACGGTTGAGAGTAAACTAAAATAGATGGGAGTTTTAAGAAGAGACAAGGGAGTTTGAGAGAAGGCTCTGACTTGATTTTTGAGTTGGCCTGACTCCTTGGAGACTTGCTTCTAATATTATCTATACACTAGTCAGTTGTATTCAGAAGTCTCTATAGCAACTACTTTTATCACTTGAAACTAAGTACCTCTGAATAGAAACACTCACACATGATTTCATGCTCCGAAGAAAGAATATGAGAAGCTTCCCTTATTTTACAAGAAATCTAAATTGTCTCGGTAGGCTAATTTGAATCTTAAAAGAGAAGGGTATTTATTAGATGTCTACTATATGTCAAGTCCTATACTTTTCACAGCCCTGCATGGGATGTATTGTCTCCATTTTACTATTGAGGAGAAAAGAACGTGGAAAGGATTAGATAACTTGCCCAATGTCATAGAGCTAGTACGTGGTAGACCTGGGTTTCCTAAGGATGTTTGATTCCAGAGAACCATGTACTTTTTTTTATCTGAACTCTGAAGGAAAATTTCATTGATGAAAGCACAATTTGAGGTGTCTTGATTATCATTTTTAAAATGAAGAGATGTCTAAATTAGTGAAGTCTGGTGTTCAATTGCACAAATAAGAACTATTTTGCAATAAGAATCAAAGCTTAGTTACAGGTAAAGGTCATGCCTTCAGAGGAAAAAGAGAATTATGTTGACATTATTTACAATTTTTTGACAGGGTGGTTCATTATAGTAAATGCAGTTCAGCTCAGTTTTCCCGGTGAGGTCATTGGATCTGAGTGGCTACAAGTCAATTGTTGTGCAAGGGTGATACTTCGTAAGGAAAGTGCTATGTTTGGGAATAGCTAGCACCAGTCCAGTGGTGGCAATAGATATTTATGGAGTCTGATTCGAGCCAGGTATTTTCACATCTATTAAAATGCCACAACACCACTCTATCAAGCAGGCATTTTAATGTGCGTTTTTCACCTAGAATACAGAGAGGCTGGGCTATTTGGCCAGGGTCAAAAAGCTCCTCAGTGGTAGAGTTATGATTTCCATCCAGGTGTTCTGGCTGCAGGTCCGGTGTTGCTGTTTGCTAAATGGTTGTTAGAGATGCCCACCTATGCCTTTGCTACTCTTAGTGTGATCTGAGGCCAGCAGCACCAACTTCCCTTGTGAGCTTCTTAGAAATGCAGAATCTCAGACCCCAGCCCAGACCCACTGAATCAGAATCCTCAGGTGAGTCAGGTCCACATTAAAGTTTGAGAAGCTCAGCCCTAAACCTTTTCTCCCACATAGATTGAAATTTTACTGAAGGATCACCTTCCCAGAATGCCCATTAGGATTCTTGTCCGTGGGAAGTTCTTACCAGCAGATAACAGGCCCAGGCTCAACCATTTCTACTGAGGACTTAAGCAAACATCACCTATTGGCGATTGCGTGGTTGACTTAATTTTAGACTTAGCATCTCAGGTTTCAAGGATCCTGGGCAGTTGTGATTTTTGAGAAGCAATATATATGAAAACACTTTTTAAAATGTGAAAGCTTTATTTATTCATTCCAAAAACATTCATGGAGACTCACCATATGCTAGGCACTGTCCTGTCAAGGAATGACAGTCTAATGGAGAGAGAAACCTGTAAACAGATCTACCTAAGGGCCAGGGCTGTGCACTGGTGATCAGAAGGCATGAAACTTGGAAGGAGCTCAAAGGGGCACCCAACTCACCAAAATGTAATGGGCATGATCATTTCCATTCCTAATCTTTTCCTCTGCCTGCAACAGGAACAGGACGGGATCAACTTGCAGGTGCCATCTGGGATTTCAGAGCCCATCTCAAAGTGTGGTGACCTAGATGTCATCTTTGAATACAGAGCTGTGAGCCAGAAGCTCACAGTGACAACTGTGAGAGCACAGGGCCTCCCAGATAAGGACCGAAGCGGTGTCAACTCCTGGCAAGTTCACGTGGTGCTGCTGCCCAGTAAGAAGCAGAGGGGCAGGACAAGCATACAGAGAGGGCCCAACCCCGTCTTCAAGGAGAAGGTCACTTTCAGCAAGCTAGAGCCCAGAGACGTGGCTGCCTGTGCTGTCCGCTTCCGCCTATATGCTGCCCGCAAAATGACCCGAGAGAGAATGATGGGAGAGAAACTATTCTATCTCAGCCACCTGCACCCAGAAGGGGAAATGAAAGTAACTCTGGTTCTGGAGCCAAGAAGTAATATAAGCGTGAGTATGTTAAATGGTGCTGCTAATGACGTGGTGTGTTCGAAGACCTGGGATTGTCAGCCCTTGATTTAGTACATTTAGCCTGTGAATTCAGAGACTTTAATTTAATTTTCCATTTGGCTCTTCTCATCCTTATAAGCCACGATTTGCACTTCACGGTACGATGGGCCTTTCATGCCTGTCTTCCTGATAACCTGATGGATAAATTCCCTGTCCATTTTAGGAAATGACAGGAGCGGTGTGATAGAGGGCATGGAAAAACCAGGGAAGGGGGCTTGACCTTCTGGTTCATGCATAAGTGGCTCTACTCCTCTCACCTCCGATATGCATTACGAGGAATCTCAGAGATGGGACTTTCTAGGCGAGGTCCTTAACAAGCGTTCTGGAGCAGGCTGTGACGGCAGCCCTGAACGCCGGCTACTTCTGAGACCTCCCGTTTGTATGACTGTACTACTCCTATGTGCCACATCTCTCTACTTGCCCCAGGGTTTCAAGGACAGACACCTTGGCTTGTATGTCTACAGGATGGGCAGCCCACTGTTGTGGGGGTTATGTGTCACCTAGTGTGAGGATCTCCTTTAAAAAGAACACGTAAAAAGATTAGGTAGCTGTGGTGGACTGTTGGGCCCACCAGTCATTAATTCAGAGATGTTTATTGTTAAGCACTGAGGCAAAGCAGATGCAGGAAAGAACCAAGCAGGGGATGCCTCTGCCCTGGAGGGACTCGGAGTCCAGTGGGGGAGGGGCAAGGATGGACCAACCAAGGTGGGCAAGGCAGAGCGTGACAGAGGCTGCTGTTTGTTTACAGAGGTCAGAGGAGGTTTCTTGAGCTGGTGATAAAACACAGAACTCACGGTATCGAAGGAGTGAGTCTGATGGTATGCGGAAAATGAGGACCCCAGGCGAGGGAACGGCACCTGCAAGCATCGGGAGGTGGGGAGGATGGTCCTGTGTGAGGAGGAGCTAAGGCACCGGAAAGGCCGCAGTGTCCATGGTGGGAGATCTGTCCACCTGAATGTCTAATGATACCTCAGAATTAACATCACCAGACTTGAAATCCTGATTTTTGCCTCCCCAGATCTGTTCTACCCACAATCTTCCCCATCTTGCTTAACGGCAATTTCATCCTTCAGTGGCTAAGGTCAAAAATCTTAGCCATCATCTATGACTTTTCTTTTTCCCACCTGAAGTCTCATTGGCTCTATCTTCAGATGGAACCAGGCCCAGGATCTCTGCTGGGCTATCGAGCAGCCTGCTGCTGGTGGTCTCTCTGCTTCCACCTTTGCTCACTCCAGACTTCTGCTGCCCCGGGGGGTCAGAATGAGTCTTTTTAAAGTATAAGCCAAATCATGTCTCATCTCTTTTTCCCAAAGCCCTCTTTTTTCCTAAGCTCTGAGTAAAATATATCTCAAATCATAGGAAACAGAATCCACGGAAATCAGAAGGGATCCTGCCCTGTAAGGCACAAGGACAGGCATGATCACACCCATACTTCTCTGTGCCCAGGCCTGTGCTGGGGCAGAGTTGAATGGGGAAAATGAGCCTGTGTCAATAAAAATTGAAGGAGAAAATTTTTTCACTTACTAGTTTATTTGTTGAGCATCATTACACGCTAGACATTAGGCTATGCACTAGGGACTGAGATTTATATGCATCCAGAATTTGATGGAAAGGGCAAGCAGTGAGTGACAAGGGGCCATAGCAGAAGCTTCTGTAGAGGCACAGGGGTGGGGTGATCCTTCTCCAAAGGTGAGCAAATATCTCATTGCTGGATTTTTGCCTTCTAGATTGTAGGGGCTATAAAACCCTTATCACAACAACCTAGCCCCGTAGTTTACACATTGTGTTCCAGGAAAGCCCGGGGCTCTACAGAGATGCCCATGGTTTGGTAAACAGGATAGTTTCCTACAGATGTGCCAAATATTTGATTCCTTTTATTGGTTTCATTTATTGGGTTCCTGATAAGAAGTTTGAGGAAATAATGTCAGACATGAGAAGAAGGGTTTAGGCAGAGTCAGTGTGCTTGCCTCTGGTGGAGGGCTGGTGTTTCAGGGTGATGGACTGGCCTGCCAGGCGGGGCTCAGCCTGGCTCCCATTCCTTGAGTGAGAATCAGCATCCGGCTCTGCTTTGCTCTCCTCCTCCTGACATGCCTGGTGCATAAAGGTGGGTGCTCAGGAGAAGTGTGCATATGAATAAACATGACAAAAAGCTCAGGCTCTCTCCTGAGCTCGCCAGGTCCCTGACATCCACAACCCAGGTGCTGGCTTCTCTATCAAACAGTGGTAAAGTGCTAATTTTCAGGGCAATCCATTTCCTTAAAAGGCAAATTTTAGCACCTGGCATGTACCTAACAGCCGTAAGCAGAAGTAGCAGCCAAGTGTTCTATGTGGTGGTAGACGTCAGTGGTCATTTCTTTTATAGTTAACACAGAATGCCTCCTGTCTTGCCAGGTTCATCAAGAAGCTGCAGACCATCTGGGTCATCCTGGAGACTCAGACTTGTGGGGGGAGGGGCATTTATTGAAACCTTAAAATCTGTACCCCCATAATATGCCGAAAAAAAAAAAAAAAAGTAGCTGCAGAAAACAGAAACAACACGCAGGCCTGGAGTGGATGGGTTCCATAGAAACCTTCAAGCACAAATTACACAGGAGGGAATTTTGGTTTATATTAAAAGTATTATTAGCTCTCCATGTATCTTAAAGGGTTTGATTTATGCTAGTAATAACATCTTTGTCCGTTTTGTCTTTCGAGAGGAAATATTGAATGGAGACAGCTCTTGGAACAAATATGTCAGCTAATAATGCAGGGGATCTCACCCATGACTGTTCCCCCCGGGCCATTGTAATTCACACCGAGTGCGCCCTTAGTCATCTTTGGCAGTCGTGGCGATTGGGTCACAATTTCACCAAACATAATATCGGCTTTCTCTAAATGAGAGTGATGCAGCGTGGGCCAATGGATTCTTTGTTGTTTCTCCCCTCCAGAGTGGAGGGTCTCCGCTCAGCCCATCTGCGGTTTCTCACAGTGATAGTGCTTCATCCACGCAGTCACTGTCTCATGGAGGGGCGCCAGAGCTGTTGGTGGGGCTGTCCTACAACGCCACAACGGGGCGATTATCTGTGGAAATGATCAAAGGCAGCCATTTCCGAAACCTCGCTGTTAACCGAGCGCCTGGTAAGTGTGTGTCTGCTCCCCGGGCTCTGGTCCTTCCAGAGGCAAGTGGAAGGCCATGTCTGCTTTCGTCTTAATTCTTTAATTTTTTACTGTAAAAATGATCTTGTTATGGCTTAGGCAAGCTTTCACAAGGAGATACCTCTGGATTTCTAAATGGCTTTCTATTTAATTAGACTTCTTTGATATCTAGATGCATCTTGATATGAAATAGACTGGCCTGTGTGTCTATATTGTTTAAAGGAAGAGACAGATGTGTTATCAGCAACCTAATGTATATGAGCAATGAAAATCTGCTAATATATACCAGACCCTCAACTTTAAAGAGGCAGAGCCCTGGCTTTGTAGTGAGTCAGATCTGAGATCAGATTCCAGCTGTACCTGCTACTTACCTACTAGCTTTACTCTGATCCTTTTTGGAACCTCTACTAACTCATCTGAAAAAAAAAAAAGAGAGCTATTAATAGTACCTTTGTGGTAGGGTTGTTTTGGGATTTAAATAAAGTAATTTATGTAAAGCATTTAGCATGGTAACTACCACACAGTGAGCACACAAGAAATGTTCACGATCATGGTGATGATGGAGAAGGAAGTGAAGGCAGCAGATCTAGGGCAATGCACCTCCTGAAGCTCACCAGAACTACCACTTTTGAGGTCACCAGTGGAAAGAGTGGTTCAAGACATACCTCCAGAGCTGCAGTCTAGGGTTCGGGAAGGCAGACTCAAAAGGCTGCTGCTGCCACCTCCCTCAATGGCCTCTCAACATCCAGAAAGTTAGAGATTGAACATTTGAATAATGCTGAGAAAAATTAGCCCACCTTTTTATAATTTTCTTTGTCAGCAAAAAAACTTGAAAAGTGGCAGGAAGATGATATCTCCTTCACTTCTGCCTTCTGGACCTCATGCAGATACATCTAATTGAGGGGACCTAATTTGTATCTGGAATGCTAGCTGCAAGAGAGTCTGAAAACTGTTGTTGAATTTCCAGTCTCTCAAGTACAGGAAGGTAAACTAGAAGGGAATAGAGTGGGTAGCAAGAGAGCTACCCATCTTGGGCACCAAAGTGTGATTAAACAAAGGATGAAATCAGTACATAAGTGGGAGGCTGAAAGAATTAATGGACCTTGGCCTCATGTATCAGCAGCAAGTGAGGGACCAGGGAAGCCAGTAGAAAAAGGTCAGCTCCTACAATTGAATCTGGGCACTCTCTTTTTTGCCCTTACCTCTGATGCAGCCCACGAAGGCTTTGTTGAATTAGGGGCATCTTGGTAGTCAACCTGTATTGAAGTAATTAGAGCTAGGTGGTAAGGAAAGCCCCAGCACTCTGGATAACAGAATAGGCCAAGTGCATAAGCCTTATTCTGTGTTAACACTCAGAGCCAGGTGAGAGCTATTTAGAATGCATAATATATGCTGATTATTATTGCACAGCTTGAGTCTTTCGCTAGATATACACGTCATTCTTCAAAATAGCTCTGAATTTACTAAATATCCGGATTTACTACTTCTCCTTCAGAACTTTTGCCAGTCTCTCTTCCTGTCCTTCTGAGATTTGATAAAGTGTGAACAGTTTTTAGGAACATGGTGGAGATGCAGGGAATGATGGGGTATGGATCACTCAGTCAAGCTGAGAAGCTTTACTTTGTATATTGGGTGGTACCAGGTGATACAGAGAAGATTTATAGCATGGTGGTTGAGAAAATAACAGTTGGAGACCCACAAACTAAGGCATGAATTCAGATTCTGCCACCTAATAGCTGTGAGTCACTAAACTGTACTTAATCTCAGTTTCCTCAGCTGGAAAAAGAGGATCATGATAATATATGCTTTATAAGTAGGGATAATACATACCGTGATGTTGAAGATGAAGCTATTGTATCTTCATAAATTTCTATATGAAAGAAAATATGCCAAAGAGGGAATTCTTACAGCAAATATTTAAAACCAAATAGGAAATTAAAAAAAAAGAGGCACGTCCTAATTTAGAAATTGATTTTATTCCAGAAGTTTAAGTCAGCTTGGCATTGGGTATGTGATTTGTCTATAGGCAAATGTTGCAATTTAGCTTAAAATGTAACTGGCATGCTGTATCTTTGCAACCAAAGTAATAGAAAACAATGCTGCTGTGATGCTATTAATTAAAACAGAAACCCAATAGTGAAGACAAAAGTTTTTTGTCTATGTAGAATGCTGGTACTTGAGGAAAAGCCAGTTTAATTAGGAGGGGATGAGAAAGTAGAAGTTTCCTTTGTGGAGCTTCTGAAAGGGACCCCTTGGTACTTTCAAGGGCTTTGGATGTTGACGGCATTGGTTCTTTATTATGTGTCGCTTCGTTATGGCACTTGTGCTGCTTGGATGGTTGTGAGGCGAGCTTGGGATACATGTTTAGTTCCCATATGGAAGAGAATGAGAGAGAAAGAATGAGGGAATGTGAGTTTGATGAGGTAACTGAGCGGAGTTGGAAGAAAGGGGGAGAAGGAGAGAGGACGTGAGCTGGGAGGTGAGTGGAGCTGTGAGTGGGGAATGGTGGGGAGGGTGTGCCAAGTGCACTGTTCTCCATGGCGGGGAGGAGGGGGGGCGGGCAGCGCAGCCCCAGCCCAGATTCAGAGTCCACTGCGGGGAGCTGCCTGCCAGGGGAACTCGTAGGACTGAGGGTCACAAAAGCCTTTGCCGGAGACTGTCAGTGCAAGTACAGTTACTTCTTCCGTAAAGCAGGGACCTCCACCCTGCCTGACAGGGTGGTTACGATCATGTAAAGAATGGTTCTGAGGAGAACGTGAGGGAAAATGGGTTGAGCCTAAGTCGTGGGGACTTTTCTTCTTGTGGGGAATATTGTTAAGAAACATCTTGCTAGAAACAGAGACGAAGGCAAGGATTTAGAAGTGAGCTTCTTTTGCCTCATAATAGACCATGAAACAAAAGATAACTTTGAACTCTTGAACAAGTTTTCTGTGTCTTTGAAATTTTGAGTTACAAAATATCGGAGAAAACAAGCTGTCTAGTCTGGAATAGGTCAGCTGGGTCAAGTGGGTAAAAATGAAACACAAGTCTTAGCCACAAAGAGGGGATTCTGTAGTTGGCAATACTTTTTTATTAGGATGACATCTTCACTTGCAATCCTATTCCCCTGGCTTAACCTTGGACAGGAAATGTGGGGTACCAAACAGCTGAACCTGGGGGCACCTTCCATAGCATCTTCCATAAACCACATGGATCTCAAGAAAAAGTATATGGCTGGGCATTTCTTCATTTCTAACTTTAACTGTTTTCTTTACTCATCTAATACAGATTGATATATAGGTAGATTTTTAAATCTATATTTATGTATACATGAGCGTGTGTATGTATGTGTATCTATCTATTAATCATCTTTTGGTGAAAATGCCCATGTTATAAAATGATTTTTTTAATCAGATAGGTGGGCTAAGAAAGATAAAATAGACTATTTGAAAATTGCTGACACTAGTCCATAGAACCTATTCATAAACAGTATATAAATGAAGTAACAACATGAATGAATCTCATCTCTAATCAAGTAACAATGTACCAAGCATCCTTTCAGCCACTTTCAAGATAATGTCTTATTTAGTAAATGTGGTCAGTGTTCAAAAGTATTGTCATTATTGCTTTAAGATGCTGTAGGCTGGTATACAAATCTTCTGATGGCAAAGGATAGTCTCCAGGTCTGTACATGGCTGATGGCCCAGGTGAAAAAGCAGCATACAGTGTCTAGGAGGCATCTGAAACCCTGATGTGTATTTATAAATGCTTTTGAAAAAGTAAGCATTAAGAATTAGAAGCATTTAATTATCTTTTGAATTTGGCTTCATGGGAAAGCAATTCAGTGACAATTTAGCAGCTCTATTCTGTCCTTATCCTGGCCCTGCCACCCAATTACTGCATGGCCTCACCATTTGATTCTCTGAATTTCATTTCCTTCACTATTAAATGAAGTTAACAAGCTAAGATTACATATACATGTTTAAAAAATTCAGCTATCTGTTGGCAGGTTCTCTTTCTCCATGTTCATCTGTGCTATGTCTCCTTCTACAACGTGTTACTGCATTGTGTATATATGTGTATATATACACATATAATGGTCCTTGTCAAAAACTATCATTAAGATGTTCCCTCCAGTTAAAAACAACAAGTTCCCCAGCTTCTCAGCATGTGCATGATTAGCCACATGTGATAATTACATCCCAAATGATAATACTTAATAGCAGCAGCACATTAACCTTGTTAGGCACTCACAATAGCAGAGACCGGAGGAAAGAAAAACAAGCAAACCAAGCTGCCTCATGTTTAGCATGAAGAACAAGTGGGTTGTAGAGGGTGCTTTACAAATGGAGTGCTGGGGAAAAAAGGACGGCATAAAAATGAACAGATATGGGACATAGGACCTTCTTTGAAAATCCTGGTCCAGTTTTCAGTTAAATATAGCATAGTAATGCCACTATGTGCTCAGAATTATGGCCATTTCTTATGATGATTTAGATGCAGCACTAACTTGTTGAGGACATATGTGATATTCCTTTTTCTACATGAACTCATTTAATTCTCACAATAATCAAAGTTACAAAATATTTTTTTTTGCAAAAGGAAAAAAAAGACAGTTACTATGATGTATGAAATATATATCTTAAAGATGTTTTAAAAAATAATCCCAGTTACCTACAGAGGAATGACAGTGAGACTGAGAACAGACTTTTCAACAGTGATGATAGAAGCAAGAAGACAATGGGATAAGAATATTAAAGTCTCAAGAGAAAAACATTCAACTTAGCATTTTGTTCCCTGAGTGAAGGAAAAATAAAGATACTTCCCACAAAATTTGAAAGAGTTTATCACTGAGAAAATGACTAAATGATGTATTTCAGGAATAAATAAGTTGAAATTAGAAGAAAGTAATGAGATGAAAGAAGGGATAATGAACAAAGAAATTGGTTAACATAGAAGTAAATATAAACCTGCATGGGCTGCATAAAACAAAAACAGGAGCA